CCCCCAGCCCCTTCACACCTTTTCCTTGTGTAGCTTCTCTTCTTATCCTCCCCTCTCTCGCGCCCCCCTCCCCCCTGCGAGGACTCCCACCTGTCCCGTGAGTCGGGGCTTCTGTGGGTCAGAGATGTCATACTGACGCAGGTCCCCATGCAGCCAGTTGCTGAAGTAGAGGAAGCGGTCATCCAGGGACAGCAGGATGTCGGTGATCAGGCCTGGGGTGGCGGTAGGGTTCAGAGGCTTTAAGGACTCCTGATCCTGGGCCAATATCAACCTTCTGATTCCCACCCACTCCTGGGCACCCACCTGGCATTTCAGGCAGGATCCACCCCTTCACTTTCTTGGGGGGCACCTGGATAACCTTCTCTGCCGACCAAGTGCCTCCCTGCATGGGGATGAGGAGGTGGAGAGGAGAGCCTGTCAGAGTTGGGGGTGGGGGCAGATCGGGGTGTCCCCAGGGCCATGTCTGCAGGGAGACAGTGGACACAGGGCCTCCGTGCCACTGGGGTCAAGTTCCAATGCACATGTCTGCTTCCCCGCTGTATGCCCAGCACCTGGCACAGTGCGGACATACAAGCTCACACCCTCTTTTGTTGAATACATGAATGAATAACTATGGCCAGTTAGGGTTAAGGTGGAAATAGGCCAGGACTGAGAGTAAAGAGGCAGGCAGGCGGCCCTGTGTTGGGCCCTGGAGAAGTCTGGGCGTGTGGAGCCAGGCAGAGAGGCCTGGCTACTCCTAGGGAGAGGGGAGCCTCATGACTACAGAAGCCTGGACAGAGGCGACAACAGGATGGCTGGACAGGGCCAGAGGGCACAGGTCACCTCGTTCTTGAAGAAGCGCTGGATGTTGGAGCTGAGGGCACAGCCCACGAAGCCCTGGGCAGCAGCTGGGTTGTGCAGAAAGCGGACCTCCAGGGGGATGAGCCCGTCCTGTAAAGTCAGGGTCTGCACGATCTCATGGCGCTGCCAGTCCCACACGTACAAGTGGCTTCCATACAGTCCTGTGTGGGAGCGGGGCCGGAGGATGGGCTCAGATTTGGGGCCGGAGGGCATGGGCAACCGCTGGGGCCCGACCCTGGGCAGAAAGTTGGATATGAGTTGGTGGGGTCAGAACACCCGAGCAATCAGAGCACTCAGCACATCCCATCCCTTCACCCAAGGGGCTGGGGTCCATGGGAGGGCAGTGAGGGGTTGGAGAGTGGGGTTTGGGAGCAGAAAGAGGGCATGTGCCCACGCTCCCGCTGACCCCTGGGGGCCTTCTCACCAGCCTCCACATCGGCGGGGTTGAAGCCTTCTCTAAAAACGTTGGGAGCTGCCCATTCGGTGCTGATCATGACATTGTGTCGAGGCTGGTACCAGAAGTCATAACCCAAAGGCGCAGCACCCCCAGGCTTCTCCCACGTCCCCTTCACCTCAAAGGTCTCTCCATCCAGCAGCACGAAACCCCCTGAGCAGGGAAGCAGGTAGGTGGCAGGAGGGGCCGTCCAGACAGAGGGCCCCTGCCCAGCCTCACCCCGGGCAGGCCCAATAGGCACCAAGTCCACTACCTGGCGCCCTCCCCTCCCACTGGGGGTGTCAGCTCCTTAAAGGCAGGTGTCCAAAGGGTCTCACCAAGAGTGTCAGGTGGGAGGTGGGACTTGGTTGGTGCCCCTACCTCACATCCCACTTCATCCCTCTCCCAGACCACAGGGGATGTTTCCCTGCCATTGAGCCAAGAGACCTGCTGGGACTCCGCACCCTGTGCTTCTCTCATCTCGCTTCCCACTGTCGGTGTGGGATTCCTGCTGGAGTCTAAGCTCCCGTCTGCTCCCTTGACTTATTTTTTTATAGAGCAGACAGATTATATTTATTTGTAAGTCAACATGAACACCCAATGTTTTTTCCTTGCTGTGTATGTTGACACTTCTTTTTTTTTTTTTTTTAATACAATCCGATGTCTACTCCTAATATCATTAAATGTAGGAAGGTGGCCCTGACCAGTATGGCTCAGTTTGTTGGGCGTCGCCCCTTGCACCAAAAAGCTGCCGGTTCGATTCCTGGTCAGGGCACATGCCTGGGGTGCTTGCATGCAAGAGATAGTTAATTGATGTTTTCTCCTCTCTCTCCCTCTTCCTTAAAAATCAATAAAGGATTCTTTTAAGAAAAAGTCTAGGAATGTCATGGTCCTACCGTCTCCCGGAAAAAGCAGTTAAGTAGACCTAGTGCCATAACATTGACTCAATGACCTTAACGGACATTTCACTCCAATCTGCCCCCGCCCGCCCGCCCCTACCTAAACATCATAGTTGCACCCATCTCCTGGGCTGTGTCTGCCACATAAGACATTTTATAAGTGTCAGCTCTGATCACCATAACAGACATAGCAAATGTAGAGATTCAGGATCCCAAGAACTGTGAGATTTGCTCATAATGCATGAAGGATGATGTAAATAACTGTGTTCTCTGGGGCCATATCTGTGCGCATACACTCCCCATGGCAGCCTGTTCTAGCTATGACTTTGAAGTGAATTCATTAGTCAAGGCTCATTTTCATAGAAACAATGGAAAGAGCTGAAGTTACTTGACTGTAGTTTAAATGTGGGGTGAGACCAAGCCCCCTGGTTCTCCCTGGAAAGTTATCCCATCCTTCCCCAGCTTGGGACCTGCCTCCCCCCCCCCCCGCCCCCATCCCCCGAGATGTGCTGCAGTGCCAGCAGGTACCTTTGCCATTGCCCTTGGGGTCTCCCAGCGTGCTGATCATCACCTCCCCACTGGCCAGGCAGTGGCTGGTGTGAACGTAGCCCAGGCCACACTTGGCATGGATGTCCTCGGGCTCAATGACCTGGGGAGGGGAAAGGAATGGCAGGAGAATCTTACAGGCCTGGGAGTCCCCACGCCCCACTCCTTCACTGCCCCTCCCCCGTTTCTTCCTGCTGACCAGTCTCCTTTCCTGCAAAAAGGACACAGTTTCCCTGTGGGAATGTGGCCGGGATTCAGTCTGGTCACTGAGCAACAAGAGAGCGTCAGAGAGGCTGCCAGCTCCTGAGGCAGAAAGCACTGGTCCTCAGCCCCTCAGCCCCTCAGCCCCGAGGCATAAGCTGCTCGTGGGACGGGTCAATCCCAGCGTCCACTGCACACCGGCAGCGGCAGCGAGTGCCCGCGGAGGAGTGTTGGGGGAAAGGATCCGCAGGCTCTTGCCTAAGGGCCGGCCCTGGGCCTCCTGACTAGCTGGGGAAAAATGCTCTCCCGACTCCAGAGTCCAACAAAGAAAGCCCGCCACTGCCCTCCCAGTCCCTTGCCCCGCGGTGCTGATTCCAGGCCGCCCCGGGGTGGTGGGTACATCAGGGGTCCCCCGAACGAGCGGCAGGGGCAGAGGACATGCCTTGTGCAGCTTCGGGGCGCGGGGCTCGGCGCCCACATCCACCACGTAGACGCGGGAGGAGATGATGCAGGGCAGCACCAGCTTGCTGCGGGCCTTGCTGCTGTCCCCGTAGCAGCTGCTGCACGTGTTCCATCCCGAGTGGTGCAGCTCGTCCTTCAGGTTGGGCATGGGCAGCCGGTGGATGACCTCGGGTGGGCAAGGGGCAGAGGGAGGTGCTCAGCCAGGCCACGCCCCTGCTCGCTTAGGGAACGGGTGCCCACTGGACCCACTTTGGTGTGCAGTGCAGTGCAGGCTGGACCCTCACTCTCCCCTCGCACCTCTGGGGTGCCTTGTGCAGTGAACAGCTGCCCACACCCCCCCCTCCCCCGCCCCATACTCAGGAGGACGAAGGAGCGTGGAGCTGCAGAAGGGCATCCTGGGGCCAGGCTGCAGCAAGCATCGTGGGGTACTTTGCTGCCCAAGCCCCACCTACCTGGCAATACTGGGGAGACTTGGGGTCAACGTCCACTGTGGCTAGATAATCCGGGGCCTCAATGCCTGTGTTTCGGTAAATACAGGGCAGGTAGACAATCTCCTCCCTGGGCCCTGGGGGTAGAAAGCAGGCGGTGGGGATGGTGGGTGGAGAGGAATGGCAGGGACAGCGCTGGCTGTGCCCGAGCGGGGGAGGCCGGGGTCTGAGGTCCCCCACCCCCAGCAGGTGAGGCATCAGTAGAGGGCGCTGGCTTGCAGAGTTCCTTCCCAAGGTGGAGTCTCCAACATGGCGGCCCGCTTACCTTTCATGGCCTCCAGAGGAGTAGGGTACCCGGGTCCACAGCTCCCGCACTTGGTGGCTGTGGAAACAGTGGGCAGGGGCCTGGACCACACTCTGGAGGGTGAAGCTTCCTCCCTACCAGCTGCAACCCACACCCTCCCATGGCCAAGGCAGACTTGCTGTCCCTCCAGTCACTCCAATCGTCCTCTCAGCACCTCAAAGCCCTGACGGTGCTGGGTGTGACCACAGGGGCTGTACACATGTGACCTGAAGGTGGACAGACACTCAACAGGACCCAGGGGAGGGCAGGAGAAGGACCAGTGCAGTGGAGGCTGGATGGTGCAGTGGTTATGCTGTGGACTTGGGCCCCATTTTCAGTTGGTCACGCAGTAAACACGGGAGCTGAGGCACATGACTTAGCCTCGCCCGCATCTGCTTCTCACGGAAGTACCGGAGAGGGCTGGGCCAGGAAAAACTGGCTGTTCCCCAGGAGCAGCCCAGAGTGGTGCTGTTCACTTCCTCCCCCAAAAAGCCTGTTCCAGGGACGGGGCCACTCCCCTCTGGGTCCTGACCCCAGGCCTGGCCAGAGCCTGGATTATACAACTGGTCTTGTCAGGGTCTGGTGAGGCTTAGAGGCTGCCGTTTAAGGCTTCCGGGCTCCTGGATGTCCTTAGACCAGGCTTACCTCTGGGTGGACCCCCTTTCTTCATATGCACAATAGAGGGTTTGGCCCACTCTGAAAGCCCTCCCACCAGGGCTGTAGGGAGGGGCTCTCCTGTCCCCTGAAGTCTGGCCAGAGAAGCCACACTGATCTATGGGAAGAAAGTCAACTGCTGAGAAGGAGGCTGCGGGACCAGGCCTCGGGCATCAGGGCTCGGGCCTGACCAGGAGGAGGAGTCACAGAGGCAGCTGCAGGCTGGAGGCAGTCCCTGCGCGCAGCTCTCAGGCCTGGGCACTCCTACCCTGTCCCGGGCCCTCTGTCCAGTGTCCTGACAGCTGGGGCCGCACGTGGGGAGCCGGAAGGAGCCAGGGCGGAGCCGGCACTGTGCCTGGGCCCAGGCCTTCAGCCAGGGAGCAGGTCCCACTCCTCGCAGCTGCCCAGGGCTTAGGCGGCCGAGAGGCAGTGTTTGAGAGTCCAGGTGTGATAACCACTCTCTCCGCTTTCTCCCTGCACTTGCTAGAAGTGGGTGATAATATCGACCTTCTTGCCAAAACCGGTTTGGCTCAGTGGATAGAGCGTCAGCCTGCGGACTGAAAGGTCCCAGGTTCGATTCCGGTCAAGGGCATGTACCTGGGTTGCGGGCACATCCCCAGTGAGAGATGTGCAGGAGGCAGCTGATCGATGTTTCTCTCTCATCGATGTTTCTAACTCTCTATCTCTCTCCCTTCCTCTCTGTAAAAAATCAATAAAATATATTTAAAAAAAATATATCGACCTTCTTCCCTAGGGGGCTATGAAGGTCAAATACAACTGTGCTCAGGAGGACTTTTGAAAAGGAGAGACCATCCTGACTTAGGCATGGGTGGGTACCAGGAAGGGTGGGGGTCCCAGGCAGATTCCCACTTGGTGCCCTGAGTGGGGTGGGTGGGGAGTGGGAGGTGGGGACAGGGTGAGAGAGGTCCAGTCCAAAGGAATTAGGGGACGTGCTCTGTTCCACAGCCAGGCGGTCAGAACGTGGCAGGGAAGATGCGGGGGAGGGGAAGGAGGGTCTGGACACAGAGAGGGAAGGAGATTCAATCCTCCAGATGTGAAGACAGAGATACAAGCCCTGCCAAGCCAGCAGAGTCCGAGAGCAAAGGTACGAAGGAGGTGATGCCGCCTGCATGGTCGCCCCTCAGCCAGGGAGCATCAGCCTTTTCCTGGGGACCGCCCCCCCCCACACACACACACAAGCATCTCAGGCCGAGATCTCTGAACATCTTTGGGCTTGAGGTGAACCCAGGAAGTTCATTCAGTTTTCCCAGGGCCAGGCTGGCTGCTGGGCACCCTGCCAGCCAGGAGAGAGCCAGATTTAAGGGGACAAGGACTTTGACACTTTCAGACCCAAACTCCTCCTCAGCCTGACATCCACTCCCATGGACGGGGGAAGGGGAGGACTTTGGCGACTGAGAGGATGGTGGTGAGGCAACAGGCCCCTGGGAGAGACTGTGGGCTTCCCCCTCCCCCAGGAGGGACTGGTGATCTGGGGTAGCTAGAGAGCAAGCCTGTGCATTGGAGGCCTGGGCTCCCTGCTCCCCGAAGAAAGCAGCTGGCCCAGGGCTGAAATCAGGATTGTGCCTCTTGTGGTGACTGCCAGGGGCACAGAGGTTCCACTCCCAAGTGCTCAGACCTGATCTTCTCAGCTGCAGAAAGGCGCCCTGTCCCCAGGCCGTAGCTGGGGAGCCAGCGGTCACCTTTCCCAGCAGTCCCTCCACCCCCCTTCCCAGCACCTCCAAACCTCACGTTGGCTCAGCTGGTACATGCAGGTGTGGGGAGGAGGAGGGGACGGAGGGTCCGGATCCAGCCCTCTGTTCCGTAACCAGCTGCCCCCAACCCAGGTTTCTGCCACTTCCTGCAGGTGGTCCGGGTTGTGGTGCCGAGGCCTACTCCTTACCCATGCTGCTGGCTGGTACGTTTGGGTCCTGCTGGGACTGCCAGGAGCGGGCAGAGGAGGAAAGCTGCGCTGTAGTCAGAGGCAGAAGTTCCTGGGAGGCTGTCCCGGGCCAGGCGCAAAGGGAAGGAATTTATTTGACCATTGGGTTTGGGCGGAGCAGAGGGCGGGCCAGGCTGCAGCCAGAGGGAAGGACTAAGGGCAGCTGGCCAGGAACTCTCACATGGCTGGCAGCTGGAGTTTGAGTAACAGGGAGTGTGTGTGTGTGTGTGTGTGTGTGTGTGCGCGTGTGCCTGTGCACATGCAGCTCTGTGTTGTGCCTGCGTGTGTATCTCCTTCATGGGTGCCTGGGCATGTGTGAGTTTGTGTCTGAGCCTGTGCGTGCTCCTGTCACCTCCGTGGTGCCCCTGTGGGCGCTTCTGTGTATGTGGCTGCATGAGTATGTGCTGTGTCTGTGTCTGAATATGTGCCTGCGTGCACACATCTGTGCTGCTGTTCTGTATGAGTGTGCCTGTGTGGATGTATGTGTGTTTCTGGACTTGGACATGTTCTGTGTGCTTATGGGACGTGTGCCTGCCAGGAGATTCAGCCTGTGTGGGCATGTGCACATGTGCCCTGTGGGTGGTGTGACAGCGTGAGCGCCCATGTCCTGCACGTGTTCCTGGGCCTCCTTGGACCTGGCCTTGGACTTGTCTGCCGGTGTTCGGGGGCACCCGGAGCGGTGAGCCTGCTTGCTTCTCCTCGCACAGCCACGTCAGCTCTCCCCTGGGATG